GTAGTAGTAGTAGTAACAGTATAGCAATAGTAGTAGTAGTAGTAGTTACTGCGACGGTGTTATAGGGCTGTGGTGGGCAGAATATGAAGGTTTTCAAAACATCAACCCTTTTAGAGAGTATCATAAATCTCAGTCTCAAATCTCAATTTTGTTTATTATAAAAACTCTCACTATTAACTTCTACGATTTTTGTGAGAGCCAGACACAATTATGAAAAGAGCCACACCGAGTTCCTGCCCTCTGCTCTGAGGTCTCTGGACAAAGAACGCTCAGGAGAATGTACATACAGCAACAATACATACAAGATTTTAACATTTTGATTTGACCCTCCCCTGCAAACTATAATGCTTCAGTAATAAACATTAATCCAGAGACAGCAGCTCTTTGTTTAAGGAACATGTTGCTTCTATATTCTGGGTACACAGGGCTCAGTGGACTCACAATACCCAGCACCTCTTCACATCAGTATTATCTCTGGGGGTGTGCAAACTTTCTAGTAAGAGAGCCACTTTAGTTCACCAGACTAGTCCAGGGGCCGACATCACGGACTGATGTCTTGTCTGGCATAGGGCTGTTCTCAGGTTTAATATGATCTAAAACAGAGCTGAAGTTGGCTGAATGACACATGTTTACCATATCACCAGCTAAATTAGCATCATTAACGGAAGTGCCACAATCAAAAACTGAATTTCAGACGTACTGGACTTTAGAACAAGGTCTATATTGGCTAAGCTGAAGTTGGATGGATGACACAGTGAGCTTGTGTTTATGATCTTAAAGACTGCTTTGTGTTAGCAATGACACTGAGGGCCGCATTTGGCCCCCGGGCTTGAGTTTGGACATTCCTGGTAAAAGTAGTAGTAGTGGGCAACAGTGGCTCAGTTGGTAGAGGATTGGCCTTTGAGCCTGAAGGTTGTGGGTTCAATCCCCACACGAGACCTCCACCTCCACTGACTCCCATTGGGTGCAGCCCTGGCCACCCCCGACCCAGAAATGGATTGAGGGGTAGAAAATGGATGGATGGATGGTATAAGTAGATCCTTTATCAATCCCCAAGAGGAAAATTAGAATGCCATGGATTCACTTTTAAGGGTTAGGGTCCAGGTTAACATAATACATAATAAATATATAATAAATATGATTAAAACAGTGGGCACAGGATCATACATAAATAAAATACATCAACACACCAGGGACTTTGTTACAGAAATGCACAGCTGCTGGAACACAGGTCTGTCTGGGAGCACCTGTGCATCCGCAATCTCCCACTGAAGAAGATTCAAGTTCATTTCAAACTCTGTGGAGAGGAGGGTTTGTAATTTGGTCCTCATTATTTTATCCACAACAATGTCCACTGAATCCCGTCTCCGGCCGACCACTGCCCCAGGCGTTTTAACCACTTCATTCATTTGTGTGTGATTGTCTATGGCACAGAACTGCAGATGTCGACCCAGGGACATATGGAAGACATTAAAGGGTCAACTTTCAAAGGACCGCTCTCAAGGACCGCTCTCAAGGACCGCTCTCAAGGACCGCTCTCAAGGACCGCTCTCAAGGACCGCTCTCAAGGACCGCTCTCAAGGACCGCTCTCAAGGACCGCCGGAGGGTCAGCCTGGTGCAGCCTGAAATCAATATCTCAGGATTGCAAAAACAAATGCATTTCTTTCAAGTCCAAGCGCCCGGCTAATTGATTATCTAACTGTTACAATATTTACCAATTTCTTCCACTTCTACTTTGGTTTAACAATCGCACACAAAGACACACACACGCAGTAAGACTCACATACAAACACACTCACACACACACACCCACGTACACACGTACAGACTAACACACGGTCACTCTGTATCACACACACTCACACCCTCTAACACCCACCTACATACACACACAAACAATCACACCCTCTTAACACCCAGCTACACACACACAGACCCACACACACAAACACACACACAAGGCGGCACGGTGGCTGAGTGGATAGCACTCTCGCCTCTCAGCAAGAAGGTCCTGGGTTCGAATCCCGGCCGGACCAGGGCCTTTCTGAGTGGAGTTTACATGTTCTACCCGTGTCTGCGTAGGTTTCCTCCGGGTACTCCGATTTCCCCTACCACTAAAAATATGTACAATAGGTCTGGCATGCGCCTCCTGTTCGGCGACCCCGCTCCCATCTCTGTGTGGAGTGAGAGACAAATGCCCAAAAAAATAACAATTGTAAACCGCTTTGTGACTCTGGTCTGTGAAAGGCGGTATATAAATAAAGCTTACTTACTTACTTACACACACACAAAGTCACACCCCCTAACACCCACCTACACACCCACACACACACACACACACTCACACACACACACACATACGCACACACACACACACATCCTCCAGCTCATCCAGGGGAATCCTGAGGCGTTCCTATCTGAGAGACAGAGTCTCCCTGTAGGAGGCGCTCTGGAGCCATCTGGACCAGATGCAGAGTAGAGCATTCCATCCCATTTTGTCAAATCTGCAACATCTCAATCTAGATTACAAAATCAGGAATTACATTTGGAATTAAATAATATTGTTCTCTAAGAAAATGAAGATGAGAGATCATTGTAATATTATAATCCTACGTCTGCAAAGAGCTTCTGGCCCAGGGGGTAAGGTCAAACTAGTCTTTGACACCATAAAAACACTTTATAGTGTCAGAACCAGAATCAGAACCATGTTTATTGCCATGTAAGTAACAGGAAGTCACAGACTAAGGCATTACTTTGGCTCTTGGTGCGACAGTCAAAGAAGAGAGGTAAAGAGTAGAGAATGGCATAATAAAAATCAGCATACACTTCGAAGGTATAAAAAATGAGTGACGTTATGATGGGCAGTAGTGGCTTTATAATCATCCAGCCAACTCCAGCTCCACCCACGTGGCCATGTAAAAACCTCTTTGTAAAGTTCAGGACCTCTGAGATCCAGTTTTTTCATTCATTCTCATGTTGTGTGTGTTTTTTCAGACCACGGATAATTTCTTCGACAGTTTGTAGACAAGCTTTTTTTCTGTATTGCACTTTTATCACTTTTAAACTAAACAAACTTTTTGGGGATTTTTTCCAGAACTTCCTTGGTTCGAATGCACAGTGTAGTTTCAGAGTTAAATTCTCTGCATATGTAATATAACATTTTCATTGTTGTTGAGTTTGTGCTGAATATTTGATTTGGTCTAACTGGGTTTATTGTGTGAAAAATTAGCAAATGTGCCTTTTTGCCTTTGAGTTATGATGATATAATGTTTATGACTTACTCGTTGACTGACACTTACTTTGTGCTCAATGAAATGTCAGAGTGTATTTCTGTTTAGTTGTGTTTGTGTGTTTCATTATCATTGCCCTTTGACCCTCCTGCATTTGCACGGGAAAAAAATAGGTAAAAAATGCAAAATTGTGGTACTTTTAATAATAACGTTTTATATATATTTAAACTGCTCTAAGAGTCTCACGTGTTTACTGTTTTATTATGTTCAAGATCTATCCATCCATCTTCTTCCGCTTCATCCGTTGCCGGGTCGCGGGGGCAGCAGTCTAAGCAGAGACGCCCAGACTTCCCTCTCACACACTTCCTCCAGCTCGTCCGGGGGGACCCCAAGGCGTTCCCAGGCCAGCTGAGAGACATAGTCCCTCCAGCGTGTCCTAGGTCTTCCCCGGGGCCTCCTCCCGGTGGGACGTGCCCGGAACACCTCCCCAGGGAGGCGTCCAGGAGGCATCCGGAACAGATGCCCGAGCCACCTCAACTGGTTCCTCTCGACGTGGAGTAGCAGCGGCTCTACTCCGAGCTCCTCCCGTGTGACAAAGCTCCTCACCCTATCTCTAAGGGAGCGCCCAGCCACTCTGCGGAAGAAGCTCATTTCGACCGCTTGTATCCGCGATCTCGTTCTTTCGGTCATTACCCAAAGCTCATGACCATAGATGAGGGAGGGAACGAAGATTGACCGGTAAATCGAGAGCTTTGCCTTTCGGCTCAGCTCCCTCTTTACCACAACGGTCCGATACAGCTCTGACTGCAGACGCTGCTCCCTCTTTACCACAACGGTCCGATACAGCTCTGACTGCAGACGCTGCTCCCTCTTTACCACAACGGTCCGATACAGCTCTGACTGCAGACGCTGCTCCCTCTTTACCACAACGGTCCGATACAGCTCTGACTGCAGACGCTGCTCCCTCTTTACCACAACGGTCCGATACAGAGACCGCATCACTGCGCACGCTGCACCGATCCGCCTGTCAATCTCACGCTCCATCCTCCCCTCACTCGTGAACAAGACCCCGAGATACTTGAACTCCTCCACTTGAGGAAGGGCCTCTCCACCCACCTGTAGAGGGCAAGGCACCTTTTTCCGGTCGAGCGCCATGGCCTCGGATTTGGAGGTGCTGATTCTCATCCCAGCCGCTTCACACTCGGCTGCAAACCGCCCCAGTGCATGTTGCAGGTCCTGGTTCGTTGGAGCCAACAGGACAACATCGTCAGCAAACAGCAGAGATGAAATCCTGTGGTCTCCGAACCGGACCCCCTCCGGCCCCTGGCTGCGCCTAGATATTCTGTCCATGAATACAGTGAACAGAACCGGTGACAAAGGGCAGCCCTGTCGGAGGCCAACATGCACCGGGAACAGGTCTGACTTACTGCCGGCAATGCGAACACAGCTCTGGCTCCGGTCATACAGGGATCGGATGGCCCTCAGCAGAGGTCCCCGGACCCCGTACTCACGGAGGACCCCCCAAAGGACACCCCGGGGAACACGGTCGAACGCCTTCTCCAAATCCACAAAGCACAAGTGGACAGGTTGGGCGAACTCCCATAATCCTCGAGTATCCAGTATGATAAATACTGAGGTGATAAATGCTTGAATCGGGTGTTTTTATCTGACTGTGGTAAAACCAGATTAAAACACGTTGGAAAAGGCTCTGTCTCAGCACAGACACGGCTTTTGTAGAACCAGGAGCCACCCGTGTAAAGAGACTCGTCATGTTAAAGAAACTCGTCATGCTACAGAAACTCGTCATGCTACAGAGACTCGTCATGCTACAGAAACTCGTCATGCTACAGAAACTCGTCATGCTACAGACACTCGTCATGCTAAAGAAACTCGTCATGCTAAAGAAACTCGTCATGCTAAAGAAACTCGTCATGTTAAAGAAACTCGTCATGCTACAGAAACTCGTCATGCTACAGAAACTCGTCATGCTACAGAAACTCGTCATGCTAAAGAAACTCGTCAGCTACAGAGACTCGTCATGCTAAAGAAACTTGTCATGCTAAAGAAACTCGTCATGCTACAGAAACTCGTCATGCTAAAGAGACTCGTCATGCTAAAGAAACTCGTCATGCTACAGAAACTCGTCATGCTACAGAAACTCGTCATGCTACAGAAACTCGTCATGCTAAAGAAACTCGTCATGCTACAGAAACTTGTCATGCTACAGAAACTCGTCATGCTACTGAAACTCGTCATGCTACAGAAACTCGTCATGCTACAGAAACTCGTCATGCTACAGAGACTCGTCATGCTACAGAAACTCGTCATGCTACAGAAACTCGTCATGCTACAGAAACTCGTCATGCTACAGAAACTCGTCATGCTACAGAGACTCGTCTTGCTAAAGAAACTCGTCATGCTACAGAGACTCGTCATGTTACAGAGACTCGTCATGCTAAAGAAACTCGTCATGCTACAGAGACTCGTCATGCTAAAGAAACTCGTCATGTTACAGAGACTCGTCATGCTACAGAGACTCGTCATGCTAAAGAAACTTGTCATGTTAAAGAAACTCGTCATGCTACAGAAACTCGTCATGCTAAAGAAACTTGTCATGCTACAGAAACTTGTCATGCTACAGAGACTCGTCATGCTAAAGAAACTTGTCATGCTACAGAGACTTGTCATGCTAAAGAAACTCGTCATGCTAAAAAAACTCGTCATGCTACAGAAACTCGTCATGCTAAAGAAACTCGTCATGCTACAGAAACTCGTCATGCTACAGAAACTTGTCATGTTAAAGAAACTCGTCATGCTACAGAGACTCGTCATGCTAAAGAAACTTGTCATGCTACAGAGACTCGTCATGCTAAAGAAACTTGTCATGCTACAGAGACTCGTCATGCTAAAGAAACTTGTCATGCTACAGAGACTCGTCATGCTACTGAAACTCGTCATGCTACAGAAACTCGTCATGCTAAAGAAACTCGTCATGTTAAAGAGACTCGTCATGCTAAAGAAACTCGTCATGCTACAGAAACTCGTCATGCTAAAGAAACTCGTCATGTTAAAGAGACTCGTCATGCTAAAGAAACTCGTCATGTTAAAGAGACTCGTCATGCTAAAGAAACTCGTCATGCTACAGAAACTCGTCATGCTAAAGAAACTCGTCATGCTACAGAAACTCGTCATGCTACAGAAACTCGTCATGCTACAGAGACTCGTCATGCTACAGAGAACCAACTTCAGAAGAAATTGAAGAGAAAGATGAAGAGATCCTTGTTTTCGTCCCACAGCGGGGAAATTCCAGTGTTGCATCATGTCATGGCCCCGTCTTGGCTGCCCTCTGGTGGCCATGTATATGTTTGCTATTCTCTGCAGGTGTCGCTGAGGCCACTCCCAGACCTACACCTGAGCGCCCACGTCTTTGTGACATTAGTTTATTCCAGTTTTCTCTTATAATAAACTTTTATAATTGACATTTGTTTGTTTGGTAAATCCTTGGTTATAGCCTAGAGCCGGGTTATAACAGGTGGGGGCTCGTCATAGTGGACTTTGGGACGAGAGTGGTTTGCGGTGTATGTTGGATATTTTGTCATTTCTCTTTGATGTGTGGGCGCAAAAGGTGAAGTTGTGCAGAAACATTGGCTGCACTGCAGGTTTTGGTGGATTTGCCTTTCCTATTTGTTTCACAGAGGGGAAGAGCGTTGTTAATTCTGGGAGAGTGGGAGTGAGTCCTGCCCGTAGTCAGTACATCAAGGTGAGTAAAGTGTTGTACGGTGCACCTAAACATCTGTCACAGGCCGGTGTCCCACAGGCATAGGGGCGTTGCTCTTTTGGTTTCGCTCGTTTTGTTTAAGTCGTGGGGAGCGGTTAGTGTTTGCCGTTTTCACGGCGTTCTCGGGTGCACGAACCGTGGTCACACTGGTCTCCCCTTGGAGTGCTTAAAACCCCGCCGCAGAACCGTGTGAAGATTAGGGTTGAGATTTAGTGGGCATCGGTTCTGTTGGTTGGCCGCCTGGTGCGCATGTGTCACTGTCTGCACTTTATCTCTCGTTGATTTCTGACTTGGGTGTGTGTGTTAAGAGAATAATGGTGAACATCTCCGACTTTTTTGATTCTCCATCTGAGGAGTTTTTGTCCCAGTGCACAAAGGATCAATTGATTGAGATTGGAAAAATATATGATATTGATATTGATACAAAGCGGAGCAAAGACAACGTAAGATCCATATTGATAGCCAATCTCATTGATCAAAGAGTGCTTGAAGAAAAGCTGCATGCCTCTTTGCCTTCTGCAGGTCCATTGGCGGTTTTGACTTATGAACAACAGCTGAGGTTATTAGAATTGCAGTTTGAAATTGAACGGGTTAAGTTGGAACAAATTAAACACGGACAGGAGCAGGCGGCTGCCCGTTCCTCTTTTGGTTCTGATGGTTCTGACAACAGTTTTGACGTCATTGGTAATTTACGGTTGTTACCAACATTTTCTGAAAGTGACCCGGACTCATTTTTTCTAATATTTGAGCGTTGGCTGTGGCGCGGGATTGGAGCAGTTCTGCGCGTGCAATGCTACTTCAATGTGTTCTTTTTGGGCGCGCGCAGGAGGCACTGTCTACATTGAGCACGTCTGAGAGCCAGGATTATGCCAAAGTTAAATCAGCGGTCCTCAAGGCGTATGAGCTCGTGCCTGAGGCGTATAGGCAACGTTTTTGGACGTGTTCTAAGGCGGTAGATCAGAGCCATTTGGGGTTTGTGCGTGACCTAAAAATACATTTTACGCGCTGGTGCCAGTCTACAGGAGCGAACACTTTTGAGCAGCTTTCTGAGCTTGTTGTTTTAGAACAGTTTAAAAATTCTGTTCCTGATGTTGTGGCGACATATATTTGTGAACAGAAAGCGTTGACGGCATCTGCTGCTGCGTCTTTGGCGGATGATTATGTTCTTACGCACAAGTCATCATTTCTGTCTGAAGTGTACAACGAGCAAGATTTGTCTCCCCGTCTGCGGGAGGCTGATGGCGTTTGTAACTACTGTCGTAAGCGTGGAAATCGGAGTGTCCTTTTTTGGTTAAAAATAAGATGAGGACTCCTGTGTCTCATGCGCACGGCACTGGATTTGTTACGCGTGTGCGTGATGAGAGTGGCGTTGTTGGATCACCTCAAAGAGAGCACAATTCTATTGTGGCTGATTCCTACAGGCCATTTATTCGGTCAGGATTTGTGTCAGTGTTTGGGGACGATTGTAAGGTGCCCGTTCGTATTCTTAGGGACACAGGTGCATCTGATTCATTCATATTGTCCGGGGTTCTACCACTGTCTCCACTGTCCGAGACTGGTAAACATGTTCCAGTTCGTGGGATTGGTCTGAATGTTGTGTCTGTACCACTGCACAGGGTAAGGTTGGACTGCGAGTTGTTTAGGGGGGAAGCAGCTCTTGCGGTACGTCCTGCATTACCTTTGGATGGGGTCTCTGTGATTTTGGGGAATGATCTGGCGGGCACGCACATGTGGAGCTCCACGCCCACTGACACGTCACACGAGGAAATGTCATCCTGCTCAATTGTCCCAGTTTGCACGGTTGCGCGTGTTAGTGCGGGTCCTACTAAAAAACACCGCCAATACGAGCTCCATGTACGCTCTGGTCGTGGTGGTTTGAGTGCTGTGTGTTCGATGCGTGAGGGGTCACGTACACGCGCAGAGTCATGTAACGTGGGTTTTGCAAAGTATCAGTTGAAGTATACTCGTTTGGAGAAGGAGATGCTGTCTCTCGTGATAGCACTGAAGCGTTTTTGTGTTTGGTTTGGTCACAGCACACCTGTGGTGGTGTATGCTCGCCATAACCCGTTCACTGTTTTGGGATCTATGACCTGTCCTAGTCCGCGGATGGTCAGGTGGCTGGCCTATATTTGTTCATTTTGTCTTCACTATGGTAAGGAGTAAACTGTGGCTGTGCCTTCCTAAAACTTCCAGCCCTCTCTCCTCTTAAAATGCTTCCTCGGTCCTCCGGTTGCTGGGGACAGACGTGGCAACAGAAGAGGTTGGTGGTTCCAGCAGTGTTTGCTGCATTGTTTATGTCTATGGTACGTTTATTGTCGGATCTGTGTTTGGCCCGGGATACTTGGGAGATCCTCGTGCTTTATGGCGGGGGGTGTCATGGCCCCGTCTTGGCTGCCCTCTGGTGGCCATGTATATGTTTGCTATTCTCTGCAGGTGTCGCTGAGGAGTGGCATTGGCTGTGCGTGCGTAGGTCCGACGCACATAAAAGACCCGCCTACAGCCATGGGCTCCTGCTGGCTCACTCCACTCCCAGACCTACACCTGAGCGCCCAAGTCTTTGTGACATTAGTTTATTCCAGTTTTCTCTTATAATAAACTTTTATAATTGACATTTGTTTGTTTGGTAAATCCTTGGTTATAGCCTAGAGCCGGGTTATAACAATCACAAGTTACAGAACAGTAGGAATGAGGAGCACACAGCACAAGGTAAATGAATTATAGCTGTACTAAAATAATAATAATAATAATAATGCATCAAACTTATATAGTGTTTTTTTGGACACTTAAAGACCCTTTTCAAAACACATAGAAATAAACATTGAGAAACAAAATGAAGGAAAGGCTGAAACAGGTGGGTTTTGAGAAGAGATTTAAAGTTCTTTAGTGAGTCTGAGTTTCTGATTGGTTGAGGGAGTGAGTTCCAGAGAGTGGGGGCCGCTCTATCGAAGACTCGGTCCCCCAAGGTTCGGTGTTTAGTCCTGAGGGGAGTGAGGAGGTCTGAGTCTGTGGATCTGAGGCGGCGGGAGGGACAGTGATGATGGAGAAGGTCAGTGATGGAGGAGGGGGGGAGGTTATGGAGGGACTGGAGGAGGAGGACCTTGGACTGGATGCGGTCTGGAACAGGGAGCCAGTGGAGTGGTTTGAGGACGGGGGTGATGTGGTCTCTGGAGCGGGTGTGGGTGAGAAGGCGGGAGGCAGAGTTCTGGATGTATTGTAGCTTTTGAAGATTAGAGGAGGGGAGACCGAAGAGGAGGCTTTTGCAGTAGTCCAGTCTGGAGGTGATGAAGGCATGAACCAGTATTTCAGGAATGGATTGATAGTTAAAACAACTATCACATTTTTGTCTAAAATCTCACATAATTGAGGAATGTACATAAAACAAATTGCATTTCAAGCAAAGCAGAAACATATCTTTGTCTCTAAAAGCAGAGATCACCAGGACAGTTAAGGAGTGGAACCTTAAAAACCTTATATGTTGTTCATAAGACACACGGACTCTTCTGCGTCTGTGTGAGTGTGGACTGGGCCTGGACTGGGCCTGGACTGGGCCTGGAGTGGTCCTGGACTGGGCCTGGACTGGCCCTGGAGTGGTCCTGGACTGGGCCTGGACTGGCCCTGGAGTGGTCCTGGACTGGGCCTGGAGTGGTCCTGGACTGGCCCTGGAGTGGTCCTGGACTGGCCCTGGACTGGGCCTGGAGTGGTCCTGGAGTGGTTCTGGAGAGGGCCAGTGGAGCCGGTGCTAGTTACCATAGCAACACACTGTTTACCTGTCGTTAGCATGTGTTAGCCTGTCTACAAACTGTTTTTTTCTCGGTATTGCAGATATATTCACCAGTGTTAGCTCTTAGTGAAAATGAGTATATCTGTATAAATTACTCACTTTTAATAAAAACTGGGGGGAAACAAACTTTTGGGGATTATATCCAGAATTCTCTTGGTTTGAATCCGCAGTGTAGTTTCAGAGTTACATTTTCCACTCATGGCTATTTCATTGTTTGAATATTTGATTCGGTGTGTACATACTTGGTGCTGAACTGTAGGGGGCGCTGGTCTGACCAGACCTGGTCTTGCCTACATGAGTGTGTGTGTGTTAGGTGTGTTTGTGGCTCCGCACACACTGCAGCTGGTGTAGTGCTCGTGAGACACCGCTCGCAAGACCGCGGCAAGACCGAGTTCACGGTGTGCTGCTGGTCCGGGCCCGGTTCTGGATCAGACGTAGCTTCAGACTTCTGTGTCGGGCACTTTGCGGACAGTGGTCACAAGCAGAGAGCTTTCGGATCTGACTTTTTCTATTTAGAGAATGAAGCCTGTGCAGATCCACCGTGGTCCATCACTGTTGAAATATGCGCCTGCGTCGTTTGTGCTGGAGGCCCAGGACGCTGGATCTTCATCGTGTGCAGGACTGAGTGGTCTGTGCGCTGGACCCTAAGCATTGTGCACGTGCGCAGCTTAGAGGGAACATTGACCAAGAACCACTTTTGGACCATCCTGTAAAGATGTTTTCCAGAGGAAAGAAGAGTCAAAACAAAAGCATTGGTTAATTCTGTTTCTGGGTACACAGACGAGTGTGTACCCGTATTTTAAACTTTATTCTGTAGTCCACAGAAGCTAGTGGAGGATTATAATCATGGAGTCAGAGCCTTAAGTGGCCCGGTGAGCCACCTCTCCATGCTCAAAGAACGTACTTTTGGCGGACTGATACTTACAGTCTATGACCGGTACTTAGTCTATGACCGGTACTTAGTCTTTGACCGGTACTTAGTCTATGACCGGTACTTAGTCTATGACCGGTACTTTATGGCCGGTACTTAGTCTTTGACCGGTACTTAGTCTCTGACCGGTACTTAGTCTTTGACCGGTACTTAGTCTATGACCGGTACTTAGTCTCTGACCGGTACTTAGTCTATGACCGGTACTTAGTCTCTGACCGGTACTTAGTCTATGACCGGTACTTAGTCTATGACCGGTACTTAGTCTATGACCGGTACTTTATGACCGGTACTTAGTCTTTGACCGGTACTTAGTCTCTGACCGGTACTTAGTCTATGACCGGTACTTAGCCTTCGACCGGTACTTAGTCTATGACCGGTACTTAGTCTTCGACCGGTACTTAGTCTATGACCGGTACTTAGTCTTTGACCGGTACTTAGTCTCTGACCGGTACTTAGTCTATGACCGGTACTTAGTCTCTGACCGGTACTTAGTCTATGACCGGTACTTAGTCTCTGACCAGTACTTAGTCTTTGACCGGTACTTAGTCTCTGACCGGTACTTAGTCTATGACCGGTACTTAGTCTCTGACCGGTACTTAGTCTATGACCAGTACTTAGTCTCTGACCAGTACTTAGTCTATGACCGGTACTTAGTCTATGACCGGTACTTAGTCTATGACCGGTACTTAGTCTATGACCGGTACTTTATGACCGGTACTTAGTCTTTGACCGGTACTTAGTCTCTGACCGGTACTTAGTCTATGACCGGTACTTAGCCTTCGACCGGTACTTAGTCTATGACCGGTACTTAGTCTTCGACCGGTACTTAGTCTATGACCGGTACTTAGACTTTGACCGGTACTTAGTCTCTGACCGGTACTTAGTCTATGACCGGTACTTAGTCTCTGACCGGTACTTAGTCTATGACCGGTACTTAGTCTCTGACCAGTACTTAGTCTTTGACCGGTACTTAGTCTCTGACCGGTACTTAGTCTATGACCGGTACTTGGTCTCTGACCGGTACTTAGTCTATGACCAGTACTTAGTCTCTGACCAGTACTTAGTCTATGACCGGTACTTAGTCTATGACCGGTACTTAGTCTATGACCGGTACTTTATGGCCGGTACGCCCATTTGTACATCTGTTTTGATTCTGTAGCTGCTCCGCTGCTTTCCAGAGCGCCTGTCACACTGCTGGCTTCTTCGTCTCACCAAGAGCAGAGACTACATTACCCATAAGTGAGGGGAGGGTGCATGCGTCACTTTGGCCGCTGTAAACAACTCAACGTGGAGTTCAGATCCCCTCACGTACACACCTGGACTGCAGCGAGTGAGAGCGGCTCCTCTCGCAGCGACAGAGCGAGAGACCATAGTCTGATGCTGTCTCTGTGTGTGGTGTGCATGCTCCTCTCACACCAACAGAGATTTAAATGCAGGGACAGGGCTTGGATCAGTTTTAATGCTCAGATTTGCAGACACGGCTGGCACTGGGGAGAAGTGCAGCATCCACAACCTTTAAAACCCAAGTGCAAGGACAGTGGAGCCCAAAACATGCTGCAGCCTTTTCTAGGTTAAATAATTTGCATATCCTGCATACTCTGTGCAGGATAGAATTATGTACAATTAAAAAGTGGCAATAAATGAAAGAGTAGCAATAGCAGAGCAGGTTTTTTTCAGTCCTAGTGCATTGGTGACTTAATGTGACTTATTGTACAGTTTGACAGCGGTGTGGATTCCCTTATATTAAAAACATGCACACATTCCACTGGGCAAAAAATATATATAATAGAGTCCGGCACTTCTTTTGGGCCACTTAAAGCTCTGACCGGAGTGGTCACTTTGGATTTTGGGAGTTGTTCTTTGCCTTGGACTTTGTTTTATTAAAAGCTTTATTTTGGCATTCCTGCGTTTTGAGTCGTCCTCATTTTCACCTCGTGACAGAATGAAGCAGCCACTCAAGAGACTCAGCGTAATGCATTTTTCCCACACCTGCTCCCAGTTGATCAGCACTCAGGTTTTTCTTTATTTTTGCCTTTTTTGTTTGCTCCACTTTTGACCTCACCTGATTCCTGGAACCACCGCCAGACATTGACCTCCGCCTGGGGTGGTTGTCTCCCGTTCCTGTCTCCTGTGCCTGTCTCTGTACCACCGCTGGGCCTTCTCCGCCTGGGGTGGTCCCCTGTTTCCTCCTGACCCGTCAAGGAAAACGGTGAAGTCCTGCACTGGATGTCCCCGTCTGTCTGCTGCCCTTCGATGTCCTCTCCTTCCCCTCACCTGTTGCCACCGCCAGACATTGATGTCCATCTGGGGTGGTTCTGTTTTGTGTCTGGGACACCGCCGGGCATGAGTGTCTTCCTGGGGTGTGCCAGTTCCCTGTGGAAGGTTGTCACTGGGCTTCAGCTTCTGTTCCTGACTAGGTTGGACTTTGCTTTGGACCTGAGGTTTTCCCAGCCTCTATGCTGCCTCTGGTCCCTTCGCCGGACCCCCTCCGCCCTCCCTGGCTCGCGCTTGGGTTTTTGGGACATCTGGGAGCTGTTCCTTGGAGGGGGGGTAATGTCATGGTGTAGATTTTTATTTCTGTATTTGGTTTTATTTTGACATTAGTTATCTGGTTTCATTTCAGTTTTACTTCATGTCCTGTTCCCCTCTTGATTGTCTGCCCCGCCCTGATGTGTTTCACTTGTGTCTGTGTCTATATGTACCTGTGTCTATATGTACCTGTGTCTATATGTACCTGTGTCTATATGTACCTGTGCTTCTCTCCCCTTGTTGCTGCTGCATTGTCTTGTTTAGTTTTGTCCTGGTCACTTTGGATTTTTGGAGTTGTTCTTTGCCTTGGACTTTTTTTTAATTAAAAGCTTTATTTTGGCATTCCTGCGTTTTGAGTCTTCCTCATTTTCACCTCGTGACACAATTGTCATGGTAACTGTCCGAGATGGGAAAATATCAGACCGGTAATCAGCCAATCAGAGCGCGTGTACGAGAGAGGGACCAGAGAGGGACCAGAGAGGGACCAAAAATACAAAATAACTCAACCCAAGTTAAGTCAGAGATATGTTTAATAACCACACACAGGTACATCACATTGAGCACAGGTACATTACATGGAGCACAGGTGTTTGCTGTGTTGGAGGTTGGAGCTGTCCAGGGTCCTGGTTTGGCGCAGACTGGTTTGGCGCAGACTTACACCGGTGTCAGTTTTTTGGCGCAGACGTATCTCAGAGAATAGGATTCTGGGTAATCTCCCCATTTCTTTTCTGAGAAAGAAACATCACAGAGAATTACATTAGGAGTGTGTGTGTGTGTGCGTATGTGTGTGTGCATGCGTGCATGTGTGTGTGTGTGATAAGAGAGAGACCAGAGAAAGACCACAGAGAGAGACAAGAGGGAGACCAGAGGGAGAGACCAGAGAGAGACCACAAAGAGGGACCAGAGAGAGACCAGAGAGAGACAAAAGATAGACCAGAGAGAGACCACAGAGAGGGACCAGAGAGAGACCACAGAGAGGCCAGAGAGAGACCACAGAGATACCAGAGAGAGACCAGAGAGAGACCACAGAAAGACCAGAGAGAGACCACAGAGAGGGACCAGAGAGAGACCACAGAGAGGCCAGAGAGAGACCACAGAGATACCAGAGAGAGACCAGAGAGAGACCACAGAAAGACCAGAGAGAGACCACAGAGACCAGAGAAAGACCACAGAGAGAGACCAGAGGGAGACCAGAGGGAGAGACCAGAGAGAGACCACAGAAAGACCAGAGAGAGACCACAGAGAGGGACCAGAGAGAGACCACAGAGATACCAGAGAGAGACCAGAGCACATAGTATAAAATAATAATAAACGTTTACGATTGTTTGTGGAAAGGCGCAGTTGAATAATTACAGATTTGAAGCTTGTTATGTCACTACAGTAAGTCTCTTACCTCTCAAATGGTTGATGAAGAGATGGTGTTCCCGGTTTTTAAGGTTGTCTGGCTGACCAGGAAACCATAGGTCAAAATCCCAGAGACTTCCATCGCTCCAAAACCATGTGGCATTCTGTGAACCAGTTTTTAGAAAGCCAGCTGAGAGACACAGTCCAGGTCCTGGGTCTTCATCTGGTCTCCTCCCGGTGACTGAGCTCCTCCCACTGTCTCTAAGGGAGTGTCCAGCCACTCTGCAGAGGAGATCGGGACCTGAACCCAGACCGGGACCTGAGCCCAGACCGGGACCTGAGCCCAGACCGGGACATGAACCCAGACCGGGACATAAACCCAGACCGGGACATGAACCCAGACCGGGACATGAACCCAGACCGGGACATGAACACAGACCGGGACCTGAGCCCAGATCGGGACCTGAACCCAGATCGGGACCTGCCCTCAGTCTGGCTCTGTGGGTTGCCTCACACAAATGTTATTTTAATAATTCAAAGTGTTTACCGTGTGCGTGTTCCTCCCTCCGAGCCACGTCATCGTGTTGTAACCAGTTTTCTTAATGATCAGTTGATATAAAAAATCATTCTCATCCAGACTGTGGACCGAGGCCAGGTGTGCCCCGAGGAGCTGGCAGGCGTCCTGTGGACACGGCACACATGCAGAACATGCAGAACATGTAGAACATGTAGAACATGGACACTGGACTTTCTCTGTTTGGACGTCCTGTTACTAACTGGGTTACTGGGTTCAGGATATGGTTCTATCCTAGAGGTCTCTGATGGTCCTCTGATGGTCCTAGAGGTCTCTAATGGTCCTCTGATGGTCCCAGAGGTCTCTGATGGTCCTAGAGGTCTCTGATGGTCCCCCCTGCTGGCGCCCCCCCCCCCCCCCCCAGCTTATGTTCTTCATCTCTCTGTGAGTCGCTCATTTTGGATATTTTTGAGCCAGGACCCGCCCCTAATGGTTCAGACCCAGTTTAATGAAATCATATGTTCTCTCTCCTCTCACCTCTGCACCCGTCCAGGAGGATTTCCGATCAAAGAACTGATAACAGTGAGACTCAAACTTACTCCAGTCGTCCTCACAGGCTGCGGCACAGAGGAGAGACCACACACTTCATCATGAATACACGTCACTAACTCAGACTTAGACTTTTAGATCCACAGAGAAATTGTGTTGTTACAGTAGCAACAATAAAAATAACATTAAAGTAACAACCTGAAAATAAGAATAATAAAAAGATTATATTTTGAGAGTAGAATAATCTGGATATAGCTGCTCAGTAATAAACATATCTGTGACACATTTCGAGTAAAATACAGAGATAGTAACTTACTTGGGTCAAATGCACACGCCTGAGAAGAGAAAAGATGTTTAATATAAATACGTCCATGTCCAGAAGAAGAGCGTGTCCAATACTTACAGCTCGTCCAGTCCCCAGCGAGACAGAGGCCAAGAGCAGAGCGAGGAGGGCAGCAGCCATCTGAGGCACATGAACGTGTGAGGAGTTTGTCAAAGGTTAAATATAATGTAGACTTACCTCTGGAGATGTGTGGAGTCGCTGTGGCTTTGGGAGAAGGAGAAACACATTTATACACTTAGGACCAAGGAGGAGCAGAGGGTTCAAAGAGACAGGTTTGACTCGTTTCTCTGGGAAATGCCTTAAAACAAGCTCTGCCTGTTGACATTTTTTTTGGCTTTGCCTTTTAAAAATACATCTAGTGTAACTTGAAATATTCTTCTCAAAAAAAAAAAAAACACAATAAATACATAAAATAAGAAGAAGAAGAAGAAGGTCCTTTATTCGTTCCACAATGGGGAAATTTCAGTTTGATGCATACACATATAGTACATACACATCAAGGCATGCAGCGAACATCATATCCGCGCTCTTCATAGGCTAAGTGGGTTAAGTGTCTTGCCCAAGGACACAACAACAGCAGGCATTAGTGGGAGTCGGTGGAGAAGGTCCCGTGGTGGGCTCGAACCCACGACCTTTGGGCCCAAAGGCCCATTCTCTACCAACTGAGCTACTGTCGCCCCAAAAAATGAAATGTGTGAGAGAAACAGAACTCAGTCTGGGAGGATTTGGATGAAAGTTGTGGTCGAGTGAACATTTTGTTTGTTGATGTAAATCCCCGTCTGGATGTTTTTTTAAAAGAATGGAGCTGCCTCTAAGCAGAGGTTTGCACTCCACGAGAGTCTTTACAGTTTTAGTGTTTTGCCGTAGACTGAGGCCCTGTTCAGACGGAGACGCTGTGCAGACGATACAAAGCCATGAACAGAAACGACCGGCTCCTTTTGCAAATACTCAGCGTTCAAACAACGATGAAACATGATGTAGTTCTAGCTTGTGGCCAGTAGGGGGCAGAGGAACTTTACAACACGCCACACGCGACCCCCTCACTCACTTCCTCATCAACATCCTCCTCAGGCCAGAGACGGGAAAGAACCAACATCATTCTGTAACAGCAGCAGCGAGAATGGAAACAGCTGTGGTTTGGACGAAGGAGTAGAATCCTCCTCCGTTAGCAAGGCACATATAGCTAGTTAGGGAAGCACATGTAGCTAGTTAGCGAAGCACATGTAGCTAGTTATCGAAGCACATATAGCTAGTTAGCAAAGCACATGTAGCTAGTTAGCGAAGCACATGTAGCTAGTTAGCGAAGCACATGTAGCTAGTTAGGGAAGCACATGTAGCTAGTTAGCGAAGCACATGTAGCTAGTTAGCGTACCCGCCGCCATTGATGTTTACGTTTGTCAGAGCAGAGAATCCACATCTTTTTCTTCCTGCGGCTGTGAAAGAGCGCCCCCTGCTGAGCATCTGAGCTGTCCCACTCTGAGGATTAACGTTTTCATCTGGAACAGTCTCCATGGAAACGGGAGGAAGCAACCGACACCAACTATAGCGTTTTGCTGCCGCGGCGTCTCCGTCTAAACTGGGCCTGATATTTTCCAAATATATCTCGCACAAACCTGTGAAATTATAAACTTCCCGTCTCTGCTGATGGCACTGATAACCACTCCCCCAGTCTGTGGACCAGTCCTCTGGATCCAGACCAGACCTGGTTTCACCTGAAAACCTGCTTTCTCCTCAAAACTGGATCAACAGGGACGACATTTTTTCTGTTATTTCAGGTTTTCTTTTACCCTGGATTAGAAGGAGACGCCGAGGCTCCCACAGTCTGACTCTGATCCTTCTCACAGAATGATTTTGGATCCATTTTTGGTAAAATCTCAAAGAAAAAAAACCAGTAACGAGCACTAACTGTGGTCAGTATAAAGTATTAGTACAGTATAGCACAGTGTAGTATAGTACAGTACAGTATAGTACAGTACAGTATAGTGTAGTATAGCACAGTGTAGTATAGTACAGTACAGTATAGTACAGTACAGTATAGTACAGTATAGTATAGTATATTATTACACGCTCCTCGGAGCAGCAGTCGAATGCTCCAATTGAAATGTTTTGAAATGTAATTACAAAACATTCTACCGAACCTCTCAAAACATTACTGACCGCTGCCCTTTGGCAACGCACTCTCTGCTTGTATTTCAGATGTGTAGATTACTCCGCAAGTAGTTCCGGCCACTCCGGAGCTAGCCACGCTCAATAAACGCAAATACCAATCAATCAAGGCAATTAAATGTTAATCAGAGAGTAATTTATACATATCCAGTCTTAATACAAGTGCACGGAAGTTTTCAGAATTTTCCGTTTATGTTTTCATGACAAAAACACTGATGTAATGCGAGAAAAGGCGATCCCGAAAAACCCAGAAGTAGATACGGCACATTTTAGGAACATTTGCAGACGATAGAATTATGGATTTAGGTTAAGTTTATGTTTGGGTCACTCACCGCTGATGTGTTCAGTTTTCATGCAGTTCCAGAGAGTTCTAGTTTGGGAGTTACTAGCCTAACTGTTGCTAGCATAGCCACGGGAAAGCCTTTGGGAACTATTTTATTTTCTTTCTTATTTTAAATAAACCTTTCGGCATTCCTAAAAGTGGACTGAAGTTTGTGTTGTGTGTTCTGTTGGTATAAAGCCGTATAATAAGCGGGATAACGCATATTACGCAGGTCATTATCGGAAAATAAGTACCTTCAGGGCGGAAGCGTCGGGGTCCGCTTCGTCCCGTCAGTACTTATTCTCCGATAATGACCTGCGTAATAACGATTTATTAACCGAGCGCGAGGTCTGTATGGAGAAATATCAGACCGCGGCCTTAATGTACAGGTCTGATATTTCTCTGCACAGACCGAGCAAGCGAGGTTAATAAATGTTTTATTACATGACTCTCGTCTGTGTCTTTACCAATGCTTTTGAGATATTTGTGAAGTATGTTCATGTCCGACTTGGTTTTGTGTGATACGCGCTGCGGACAGATTGTCATGGTAACGGTCCGAGGAAAGATATCAAATGTGATATGCGCTGTTCGGACCAATTGTCATGGTGTGGATTTTAATTTCTGTATTTGGTTTTATTTTTACATTAGTTATCTGGTTTCATTTTAGTTTTACTTCATGTCCTGTTCCCCTGTGTTGATTGTTTGCCCCGCCCTGATGTGTTTCACCTGTGTCTGTGTCTATATGTACCTGTGTCTATATGTACCTGTGTCTATATGTACCTGTGTCTATATGTACCTGTGTCTATATGTACCTGTGTCTATATGTACCTGTGCTTCTCTCCCCTTGTTGCTGCTGCATTGTCTTGTTTAGTTTTGTCCTGGTCACTTTGGATTTTTGGAGTTGTTCTTTGCCTTGGACTTTGTTTTTATTAAAAGCTTTATTTTGGCATTCCTGCATTTTGAGTCTTCCACATTTTCACTTAGTGACACAATTGTCATGGTAACGGTCCGAGATGGGAAAATATCAGACCGGTAATCAGCCAATCAGAGCGCGTGTACGGTCCAAGGCGCTTCTTCTTCTACTATATCTCCGTGTATAAACCCGGCAGACTGCACCGCCAGGATACGTCATGTCCTGTCCTACGTTTGTTATTCGCGCCACTGCCCTGACGTCATATGAAACCCAAGAATAGTATTGCACAGTATAGAACAGGACAGGACATTAGTATGAAACACCCTCTGAGGACAGACGGTCTCTGTAGTTATTTCACTTTGGAAAGACCCAAGAGGAAAATGCAGTTAGAAGTTTATTGATTGAGTATATTTGGCGCCCTAGGCCCGGGAGAGATGCTGTTGAGTGCGGCGCTTGCTCGCGCGCATAATCCCCCCCGGGGCCTAAGCACTGGTGGCGGTAGAGGCAGCAGGCGAGCACGCTTCGAAGAGAGAAGGAGGAGGTGGGGCGGCGGAGGCTTTGCTGGCTTCGGAAGGCCGGAAAGTGGGCGTCTCCGGCTTTTAACTTGCTGTCCTGGTGGTTATTGGTGGATTGGATGTGGGCGTTTTGCTGGTGTAATGAGTAGAGGATGAGCAGGCTTGTAGATCTGGCAGCAGCGGCCGGGTCTACCACAGTGAACTTCCGCGAAGAGCTTCATTTCACTTTGGAAAGACCCAAGAGGAAAATGCAGTTAGAAGTTTATTGATTGAGTATGTTTGGCGCCCTAGGCCCGGGAGAGATGCTGATGAGTGCGGCGCTTGCTCGCGCGCATAATCCCCAAAAATGGGCAGAGTTACCTTTGCGCGCCGGGACGTGAGCGCTCGCATCACGATCACCGGACGCTGTCTGGGACGTGAGCGCTCGCATCACGATCGATACCAGACGCTGTAGCAAGTTATCTTTGAGCGCCGGGACGTGAGCGCTCGCATCACGATCAACCGGACGCTGCCTGGGACGTGAGCGCTCGCATCACGATCGATACCAGACGCTGTAGCAGAGTTGTCTTTGAGCGCCGGGACGTGAGCGCTCGCATCACGATCAACCGGACGCTGTCTGGGACGTGAGCGCTCGCATCACGATCGATACCAGACGCTGTAGCAGAGTTATCTTTGAGCGCCGGGACGTGTGCGCTCGCATCACGATCAACCGGACGCTGTCTGGGACGTGAGCGCTCGCATCACGATCGGTACCAGACGCTGTAGCAGAGTTATCTTTAAAGTGCGTGCCGCCACCAGAATCTTATTGCTTCACTTACTTTGCTTTGTATTGCTTTGCTGGGAGCTTACGAGGAAGCCAGTAGCCGTTGTGCAGCCAAGATGGAGGACGCGTCTGACCTGATGTAGGCGGAGAAAGCCGAAGAGGACCAGCGCCCCAGCTGTTGCAGAGAGGTGTGGGGGAACCCCAGCGAGGCCGCGCGCGTGGCAGCGCCTATCCTGAAGGAGTGGGCTGTGTAGAGCTGGGGAGATAATTTACAGAGGAGCAGTAGGGATCTTAGTTGCGCTCTGAACCAGGTTGCTGTCATGGGAAGAATGTCTGGAGTGAGAAAGAGAGGTCCGTTAAAATCTCCTTTTTTGTAGCGGAGGCGAGTGTAACGCATCAAGGATTTGTAGGGGCAGAGAGATGTGTCCAAGCGAGCTGTTA